TGTGGTGCAATGGTTCTGAGATAACATCTTCCTGCTCCTTCAGAACTCTGGGATATAATCTGTCGGGTCCCAGCGATTTATATTTGTCAAGTTCTCCAGAACCATTTTATGAATCAGCAGTTGATCTTTTATAGATCTGCTTTTTCTTTTATTTCCTTTCTGTTCTACTGGAAGGATGTTATTTTCTTCTAAATAATCTTGGATGTTGTCAGCTGTTATGCCTGTGAATAATTTAAACATAGGCAAGCATTTTATTGGCCTATATTTTCCTGGTGTTGTCCCTTTCACTAAGTCTTTTTGAATCAGATATAGTTTTCTAATTATTAACCAGTTGCTGATTTCTCCTTGATGTAGTACTTCATTACACTGTTTAGCTATAATTAGATGAATCAAAAACCATGCAATTGATCATTTATTGCTATTGACAACATTCTAGGGATTAATCAAGCCCATCCAAATTCACATTGATGTGCTCACAGTTTGATGGATATTTTTGGCCACTTTCAACTGGTGCACTAGTTGGGACCTTTTCAAGAGAGAGAGACTCTGGTAACTGTCAGGCTCTAGATTGGATTGCTGCAATGTGTTGCTCTTGGATCTGCCCTTGAAGACTTTGGAATTTGCAGTTGATATAGAAAATAGTAGACTGCTGAGAGCAGAGGGATGGTTCAGTAATGTTGCACTGCAGTGGTTTCCAGTGAGTTTCTGAATACAGTATAAGAAACTGGCATTAACCTGTTTAACCTACAGGGTATGGAAATAAGATATCTACAGGACTATCTCTTCCAAGTTGACCATGGCCAGCCTGTCACCAGTACAGAAAGAGAATGTGGTGGGGCCAGAAACAGTGTTTGCCATTACTACTTTGACCTAATGGAACAATGGGGAGATCCAAATGGCCCCCATTTTAGTAATTTTACAGAAAGCTGTTAAGACTTGCCTTTCTATCAAGCCTTGGGAAATAGACATCTGTGTTTTGCATGCCACTAGTACAGTAGTATATGCTTTTAGTTTGACTAATTTGGTTTTATGCTTCTTATTAATATGGTTACATGGTTTTTATTATTTTTTTATATTAAGTCTTATGAATATCACAGCTTTTTATAATTTAGTTATCCACAAGTACTGAGAATATATAGCCCGCTTTAAAGTCAACAAACGTTGCTTCTAATAAAGAAAGCTACCCCATCCTTACTCAACTAGTACTCAAAAGCCAGAACTACAATATATATACTTGTTCTTGTTTCCTCTTTGCCTTCATATATTCAGTCTATTGGCACCAATGTGGAGTCTATATTGGTGGATAGATTCAGATTCTTGCCTAAATCTGACTGACTATGGTCTGTTCCCATCTCTTTAATACTGTAATGACCTTGGGAGACAGGGGGAAGAGACACAGCCAAGGGAACAGGGAACAGTCAGATAAAAGGTGTCTTGCAGCAGAAGGTAAGCAGAGCAAGTGACTCAGAAGGGACCCTCCCTAGTTTCTTAGACTATAAAGGCAATGGGGAGGAGGGGAGGGGGAAATGTACTTTCAGAAATTCTTGGTGCTCTCTGAGCTCAGTTGTTTTCTTGCATACGTTTCATTACCCAAACACTAATAAAACATCTGCAAGAAAACAATCAAGTTCAGAGAGCACCAAGAACCACTCATTTCAACCCTAAGCTGCAAATATTCTCCTTTAATGTACTTTCAGACATGCAAGATTCTGTTAATATAACCTTATAATAAGGTAGAATTAGCTCATCGGCCACGTTTCCTGTCTGGTTCTACCTCACAAGGATGACAAATACCAAGTATGAAAAGTGTGGTTCACAGATGCAGCTGGCGTCAGGGTGAACCAAAATTACATTCTCCCCCATTCAGACAGTTCCTAAATTAAATAGTGATTACAACTCTCACTGATACATTCCAGTGGTAATTTTTATATTGTATTATACCAAGTTTTCAAGTTGGCATAAATTTTTGCACTTCTTTTGTAACCTATGATTGCTTTTTCTAAGACAAGCATTTATTCTTCCTGTGCACCTAAAATCTGTTTTCTTTTTTCATAATTCTACCTACACAAAGTTTTAAATATATATATATATATATATATATATATATATATATATATATATATATATATATATATATATATATATATATATATATATATATATATATATATATATATATATATATATTATATATATATATATATATATATATATAGTCAGATGGGAGAATAGATTGCAATTGGTATGGTTTTTTTTCTTACAAATATGAGAAAATGGTGGGTTTTTTAATATTGCCTTATACTTTTCTTTTTTTTATCATTATTATTACTGATGACTTCATTTTGTTTGAATTCAATGCTTCAGTTCCTTTGGGGTAAACTAATAGATTATGTATGCGATATTTGCCTGGCCCTGATTGAATTCATCTGGCAACTCTGAATGTAGTTCATATATTCATGTAATTGTCAGGAGGCAAGCTGAAATTCTGAACTGCTAAAGGATTGGATATCACAATCATTTTACATTGCCTGGGAGTTGAAGTTAGCTTTTTTTTGTTACACAGTTTGTCTTTCTATCCCCAGTTAGGCTTTTAATTATATTGTTGTCAACCCTGATTGAGCAAAATCCCTCAAAATCTGTGGTCTGTTTTTGATGGGGGGGTTTTGGGGTGTATGTGTACAATGAAGGCATAGTGCAAAGAATCATCTTAATACACAAATCTAGCTCCCCTTCTCTATGTCCCACTCAGAAATTAGATCTAACTGTGGAACTTGATAGTTTTGCCCTGCAATTAAATTGAGACTGGTTTGCCAACAGGCCATACGATGCGATGCAACACAGTCAGTTTTATATGAGCCTAGGTTTGTAAGGCTGTGGGCCCTGTAATCTCATAATTGTTCTGCAAAGGAGTTCTCAAGGAGTTCTGATGCACCTGAGAAATTGCCAGCATAGGCAACTTATTATTCCATCAGGCATGATGTCTGAAAATGAAGGCACTGATTCATAATAACAGAAACTGCCTGGATAAAAATTGTGTGAACTGTGAAATCATGATCAGATGTGCTTGCTTCAAGGGTTGCTTCCAGGCAGGAAGAATGTCCGTGTAAGGAAATGTATGACTCTAGTAAAGGTTATTAAACATGACTGTGGTGCACATTTGTAAGGCGTCACATCCAAATATATTACTCAGGATGTGCAAATCCATTTTACTGCCTGCTCTGCATGGTAGATTTCCATTTTGGCAGATTTATGTCATGATTTTTAATAAAATATCCAGATATAATCCAGTTGATTAATTTGGGGTAGGGGTTGTTTATTTTGTAAAATGTCACTTGGTTATTCCAAGAATCATCGGAAAGAAGAAGCCATTTCCACATTTGCACTGTGAAAAGCACGAAAAAGACATAAACTGTATATTTATCCCCCAAAAAAGTCAGGGTTTTTTTGGTTTGTTTCTTTTACTCCTTGAGGAAGGATGAAAACTTGTTTCCCTATCTCACTGCCATGGATCAATTGAGAATGAAAAACTGAAATCAGGGCCCATAGCAAAATACTTTCACACCCCTATGTATCACATATGGGTGAACACTCGCAATGTGGAGGCTGGATGGTATCCTCTCTATTGTGCTGTGAAACAAGTCATTATTTTATTAAAAATCATTAACCCTCTGCTATGCACATTGGAGCACTTTGTTATATTCCATGTGCAGGGAACTTGTTGAACTATCTAACAAGCCTCTTTCAATCTTCACAAAAATTATTGTTTCTTCCTCTTCGTATAATCTCTGCATTATACGAAGGAATATGGTATCCACAAATATCGCTGTGAATTAAATTAGTTTAATAGCAATAGCACTTAGACTTTTATACCATTCCATAGTGATTTACAGCCCTCTCTAAGCGGTTTACAGTGTCAGCATATTGCCCCCAACAATCTGGGTCTTCATTTTACTGCCTCGGAAGGATGGAAGGCTGAGTCATGAGCCAGTCAGGATCAAACTGGTGGCTTGGGCAGAATCAGCCTGCAATACTGCATTCTAGCCACTGCCCCACCATGGCTCCCTTTACATTTAAACTCACAGAAAATAGGAAATGTAAATCTTAGCCAGCTAACCTTTTTTTTTGTCTTCTTGTTCATGTGTGTAGCTCAAGGTCAACATTAATTTGGACATGACACCAATCATGCCATGCCATAGCTCTGTCAACAAACCTTCTGCAAGTATTAGCAATATTTGTTAGGCAACAGATAAAGGAGAGAAGAGATGGGCCAATACAGTAGTCTGACAAAGGCTTGTAGGGGAAAAAAAGAAGTCACTTCTAGTAATCAGATTATTTCTACCAATCGCTGGCATAGTGGATAATTGTTTTTAACATATGTCAAGAAGCTAGTTTAATGTGCAGCTGAAAAATTGTTCTTTAAGGAGAAAGATCTCAGAGTAAGTAGGACTATGCTATGATTGTACCATTTTCCAGATACCCTGAATGGTGATAAGGTTAGTTTCTCTAATGATTTATAAGTGATCTTCATTTAACAACCACAATTGGTGCCAGCAACTCAGTCACTAAGCAAAGTGGTTGCTAAGTGAAACCATGTGCTTACAATCTTACTTCAGCTTCCCTTTGCTTTACAGACCTGCGAAGGGTCGTCAATGTTAGGATTGGTTGCAAAGTTACTTTGTCATCACTGTCATAACTACACTCATTAAATGAGGCAGTCACTAGACAAGGACAACCTGTGTAATGAAGCCTACAAAGAACTCTAATTAACATTTGATGCATTGTGTGTGCCAAATGTGATTGTCTTCAAAGTGAAGTAAAATTTTAAAAAAGAAACCCTAGCTAGCCCAGTATGCTACTGTATATGTCTGTTATTTACCTAATTGTGACTTGTGAAGAAATGAAACTAAGTGAAAAATTGCATTTGTTGAATGAATTCAGACATGAACCAGCTGAAAGTAAGTATACTGAAATATTATTGAGATGTTCCTTCTTTTTTCCAGTGATCGTCCATCTATTGGAACTGCTGATCGCATCCAGAAGTTACGTAAAGAGTATCATCAGGCAAGGAGAGAAGGTGTACCTTTATATGATGAAGAGGAAGGTAGAGGAAGATCATCTGATTATGATCAGCATTGGGTAGGTGCTCAAAATTTATTCAAAACAATTTAATCTGTTATGAGTATATATACAGTATATAGGCTTTGAAAAATATAAAAATAGTTACAGATCAATCTTTATTCTGTTCATAGACCAGTTTTTTTNATGTAGTCATGAAAACAAATAATGGCATTTGATTTATTTCTTTTTTCTGGAACTTTGATCAATGCTGTCCCCTCTCTACTCTGTCTTGTGATTCTGGGAAATTCTCAGAAGCTTTCAGAATCAAAATAGTCATTATGCTAAATAAGTAATAGAACAGTCTCCCTTGGCTTCTGAAGGCACCAAGTAGCATTTCTGTGTAAATCTGTTCCTTGTTCTGCTCCCTCTGCTAGCATGCATTAAATTCTTCCAAGAGTCTGGAAACCATCTTCTTATCATGGGATCTTAGAGTAGTGATTATTGACATTACTAATATCAATTTATTCTAAATTTTTATATTCACTTAACACTGAAAATTTTAAACACCATATCTTTATATCAGCTCCTTGTATTCTATAGATTATCTCACAAATATATTGCCCAAGATGAAGTGGATTTATTGTAGGATTAAGATAGTGCCAACAATTCACAGAGCAGTAATTTGATATAAAGCTGGAGACTGTGGGGAAGCGAAGATAATCCAGACAGAGGGTGCTTAACCCTATATAAATGTTTCTCCACACTTTGTTCATTTTTAGTTCCATTGAAAAAATACATCATAACAACTTTGCCGGTCACACAGCTGATTAGGGAATATAAAATCAGTCAGATGACGTCTCCATACCAAATTGCCAATGAAATTTGAGTGGATGCGGAGAGGGAGAAACAACTGCAAATTCTTGTACAATTGTGTATACACATATAAAAAAAAGAAGAAGAGGGAGTCAAGCTATTTTCCAAAGCGCCTGAAGGCAGGACAAGAAGCAACGGGTGGAAACTAATCAATGAGAGAAGCAACCTAGAACTAAGGAGAAATCTCCTGACAGTTAGAACAATTAACCAGTGGAACAACCTGCCTCCAGAAGCGGTGAATGCTCCAACACTGGAAGTTTTTCAGAAGAGACTGGACAGTCATTTGTCTGAAATGGTATAGGGTTTCCTGCCTGAGCAGGGGGTTGGACTAGATGACACACACACACACACATACATACATACACATACATACATACACACACACACGCGCGCGCACACACACACACACACCGTATACATTATGTATTGCATCTGTGCTTAGAAATTTATCTCTTGGTATGGAGCTGCACTGATCATTGAGAAAGATTATGGATAATCAATCAATCAGAATAGACCTTGGAGGTCTTCTAGTCCAGGGCATTTCAATCTTTTCACCGACTGTACCATTTTTAGGATATGGCAATATTCAAGTACCACCAGTCTCCTAGCAAGGTGTCAAAAACTTGTTAACCAAAAAAAAAAAGGAAAAAAGTGATACAGGTAGTCCTCAACTTACAACAGTTTGCTTAGTGACTGTTCAAAGTTACAGTGGTATTGAAAAAAGTTACTTATGACTGTTTTTCACACTTATGACTTGCAGCATGGCCCCAGGGTCATGTGATTTATATTTGGATGCTTGGCAACTGATTAATATTTATAATGGTCACAGTGTCCCACGGTCATGTGATCTTCTTTTGCAACCTTTTGACAAGCAAAGTCAATGGCCGGGAGGGCGTGACCAGCTCAATGTTGCTCAGGTTGGGGAGGCACCTGTGAGGGGGCCGGGCAGGCTGAGGGGGGATCTGGGGGTCTCTGGTGGAGGGGGTGGGACTGGAGTGGGCGCCAGGGCATGGTCCACTGGAGGAGCCTCGTCCCTTTTGGGCCACACGGGAACTCCCGGATGGTGGCGTGGGCTGCCCGGAGCACCCAGCCCAGCCCTTGAGCTCCCAGGGCACCAGGACCCTGCAACCCAACTCAGTCTTTCCCCACTTCCCCGAGGGGGCGCCCAGTTGTGCTTACCTCCTCCTCGAGGCTGCTGCTGCTGTGCTCTCCTTGGCCAGATTGCAGGAGGTCAAATTGCTTGGGTCAGAGGGAGGCCCACTCCATCTCCATGCGAGGAGACCCGGCTTTGTAACCAAAACATCCTTAGCAATAGGATGGAAGACCACCAGGATAGGCCAGCAGAAGGGGGCAAGGGCAAAATGGCAGCAGGGCTGATGGTGGCCAAGTGCTAAGGCAGGACTTCCCTCAGACCTCCCTCCCTCTCATTCCAATCTCCCTCCTTTCTTCCTGTTTCCCTCCCTCCTTCCCTGCCTCCCTGCTTCTCATTCCCATCTCTTCCTTCTTTCCTTTTTTTCCTTTTTTCCTTTTTTCCTTCCTACCTTCCTTCCTTCCTTCCTTCCTTCCTGTTTCTCATATTTTTCGTAATGTAGTGACCAAAACTGTATGCAGTATTCCAGGTGTGATCTTACTAAGGCTTTATAAAGTGGTACTAATACTTCACATGGTTTTGATTCTATGCCTCTGTTTATACAACCAAGGATTGTGTTAGCTTTTTTGGCTGCCACCGCACACTGCTGGCTCGTGTTTAAATGATCGTCCACTAGGACTCCAAGGTGCCTCTCACAGTTACTGTTTTTGAGCCAGGTTTTGCCTAATTTGTACTTGTACCTTCGTGTTTTCCTGCCTCGGTGTTGCATTGAGCACAGGGCAATGGCTCTGTGGACTTTAAGATAACACGTTACCCTGAAGAGTGAAATAAAGAGACTGATAAACTGCCATTTGGCTTCTGAGCCCAGGTAGTGTTCATGTTATTCACCACTTTGAACTACAGAAGATTTGCTCTTCATTTACGATTGAGTCTTCCTTGTAATTACATCAAATCCATTGAGTTTTGGATGAGAGAGAATATATGGTACTTTCAAGTTTTAATTCGGTGCCCACAGGAATACTGGGATGTCCTCTGCACATATCAGTTTCAGTAAGTCAATCTACTTGACCAATATCTAATTTTAGCAGACAGCTTTGTTTGGATTGTTGTTTTTAATGAAATCCTATAAAGAACCAGTCCACATTCCCAAGAGAGATGGTGAAAAACAGTTGATACCTTGACCAGGTCAATGGTACTTTCAGAGCTGCCTAGAATTCTTATCAAACCTTGAAGGGCTTTATTATCTTTTTCAGTATGGCCCCATTGAGTCTCTGAAGCTTCACAAAAGGCCCTTCTTGGTAATCCCTTTTAAGCTGATTCTATTAGCTGTAATGCCCTAAGATTACTGATTCCCAAAACTCCATGTTTCCTGTGAGAACAGGGGTTGTTAATCAAAGCACCCAAGATAGCTTTAAAGCTCTCAAACTGATTAATATCAGAAACCTTCAGATGGTTTCATTTCTCATTGAAAGGCACATGTTCTAACATTAATTCTACAGATTTCACACTGGGTGAAAGAGATGTACAACTTTAATGGCAAGAGGGATTTGTTTTATTTTTTTACAAATGAGTGTTTCTCGAACCCTGCTCTTTGCTACAAAGGTTTGTGAAGAATGTTGGATAGTACCTTGTATCTGTAAATCTCGGTTAGACTAGGGTTTTTTTTTTCATTGTAAAGCATGTTTTCTCACACCAAAGAGCAAAACAAGAATTCTAAAACAGGATACATAAAGTAATGGAAGGATATCTTTGTGAGCAATTCACCTTTAGAGCTTCATATCTATATCTTATCATCCAGAATTTTTCTATCCTTGGAAATAATCTATGTATGTGAGGAGAGGAGTATATGAAGAGAAATATTTAGAACTTTCTCCTTCACCTTCCTGTCATTGGGTCCTTATCTCTGAAATCATTGTTTCTGAGACCTAGAACAATATATGTATTAATCCACTGACAACTAGCCAATATATTTTTCCTGACCAAATAGGCAAATGGTAGTTTAGTAGTAGATTATTTACCATCATTTGTTGCACTATTTCTTTTCTCTTAAAATCTTCAGAAACTTATTTTGGCAATTTTGTCTAGGCATGTCAAGACTTGGACTGTATTAGTATCCCAAAGCTGGATAGGAGGCCTTCAAATCCAGCTCCATCTTACGATGGGAATCCCAGTGGAAGCATCCAAGACACATGTCTGTCCAGCCGCTACATAAATAGATCAGGTGGAGAGACCACAATTTTTCTGGATAATTGATTTCATTGTTGATTAGCTCTTAAAGAGCCCTTGTAGTAAGGTGGGGGGCAAAAAAATTAATAAATAATAATAAATAATTTCTAACATTTAACCACAATCTGCTAGTTACTTCTTTTATCCATGTGCTGCCCTCTGAAACAAGGCAGATCAGATTTTGTCGATCTGTCTGAAATCTTTTGGGATACTATTACTTCCTTCTTTGCATGTTCTAGCATTCTCTCTACATAAGAAAAGTCTTAATTCCTGATCATCTTTTAGATTCTTTTCTAAACCTGTTCTAATATGTCTGAATTGTTAAGGTATGGTGCCCAGGTCTTATTTTTGTATTTTATTTAGGGATACGGTGATTATAAAAACATACTCAAGTGGAGTGTTCTTGTAACTTGTTCCTCATTGTTGATACTGGATTCAGCTACTAACATGATTTTTTTAATTTAACCATTGCTTCATATCTCCTCATAGAATGAATACCCTTGTCGGAAAATAGGAACTGTTGACAATGAACTGCTTTGGAATAGGGATAGGCCAATAGCTGACTTGTTTGCTATAGGAGAGTGAAGGAAACTGAGTCCCATAACTTAGATTAAATTGAAAACTTATTGGGAGCCTGCATATGAACAGGCAAATCTCAAGAGACAGGAGGAAATCCTGCTGTTAAAGGTTTTTCCTGACCTCCGTATGTATGTATGTCTGTCTGTCACACACACACACACACACACACACACACACAGAGAGAGAGAGAGAGAGAGAGAGAGAGAGAGAGAGAGAGCTGTTTCAGTTATTTATGTTACCTAAGCCATAGTTAACTTTATACTATTTTCTTAATAGATAACAGGTGCTGTAATTATGGCTCACTATCTAA